TTAACATTCTCATTGTCATTCTCCTAATTTAGGTGACAGAAAAGGATCATCAAATCAAATTGAATTTTATATTTTTTCATCCCAGGACCGATAGAAAAATATATATTTTATGGATACCTTCCTAAATATCAACGAGATGAGCCATCGGAAGAAAGGGACCATAGTACAAAACAGAAAGGTGATCTTTTTTATTTCCACTTAGGATATTGAAATTATTATATACTGTAGTCGTGTTCGGCATTATGCTCTGAGAAATCTAGATAAACAAAGAACAACAGATATAAAGCATCCCAGAGGAAAAAACGGGCAATACCTGTACTCTCTCTGATATTTGTGAATGTTACGGCAAAGTATTGTTGTGAATGGCATCTTCTTGATCGACCTGAAAACTTCGAGCAAAAGGATGACACTTTCAACAATACCCTGACAGATATCAGAGACGATACAGGTTTTTCCTCTCTTTTCCCCTGGAATACTTTTAATTTATTATTCTTTGTTTATCTAGATTTCTCAGAGCACTATGAACGAACTCAGCTTGTATGTTTGAAATAATCGTCCAGTTGGCTTAAAAATGATGATCGATGACATTTCCCATATAATTTTACTTTCAAAATTATGATATATATCTTCATTTCTAAGCCATCTATTATGCCATTTTTTTCAGTTTTGTTATAATTAATTTTGTCTCTTGATCTACTTGTAACATTATTCTTTTAATTTCTGTTGTATATTTGATATTGATATTAAACACATTTTTAAAAAATGGTGTATTTTTTGTGTTTTTATGTATGTCATAATTAAAAATAAATGAAGAATTAAAATTTTTTATTTTTTTAAACTTCCCGCCATGCGTGACAATCTAGTCTGTAGTTCCTACAAGCGATATTGGGGGCGCTAGTAGCAGTAGACTTGTCAACAGTGTCAAATTTAAACGTCAATTTGACTTTCCAATATTTAGCACGGCGCGGCGCTAGCACTTCTTCTTGTGTATGCGTTTTGTGGCGAATCCTGTGCAGATACTCGCCAAATACTCCATGGCGAATCATGGCTTGCGTGACGTAGTCCGTGTTAGACTAGTCGCATTTTATCCAATGTTTGGTTAGGTTGCGGATTTGATTATGGGTCAGAAGACTGATCGGAGGTATCTTAGCAAGACACAGTATCGCTACTGCTGGATTTGTGCAGTATGCCGATGCACCCCTGAGTGCTAACTTCCTGTTTATCCTTTCTAGCATGTTTTCATAATGTTTGAGGCGCATCGATCTGTCCCAGATTGCCGATGCGTAGAGTATGGTCGAATAAACTACCGAAGCCAGAAGTGTTTTTTTTTCTTCTTTCCGCGCGAGGTCCTCCGATATTGGGAGTGATTCTTGTCAGATGCTGTATGATGGCTGTCATTTTATCCCTGATTTCTGTGACGTGTGAGGTCATTCGCATGCCCGAGTCGAACCAAATCCCCATATATTGAGGTTTTATGACTAATTATCCAGCTTTGTGCTTAGATCCTTTGCTCTGCGTTGTCCAACGAGAACGACCAGCTCAGTTTTTTGTGGGGCCCTTTTGACGCCCATGCTTTACAACTTATTTTTAATCGCTATCGCAGTCGTCTGAATTTTTTTTTCAAGGATCGTGTAGGTGGAAGCAGTTATTAAGAGGGCTATTAAGCTATTAATTATTTAAGACTCACCCTGTACTATGTATTTTTTATACTAGAGCCGTTGATTGAAAGGATTGGTTTGGTGATTCATTTCTTCAATCAACCCTAGAACACTATATACCGGGTGCGACTCAAAAGTGGCTCACCCCCTATAACTTTTTTATTTTTTCAGATAAAAAACGAGATTTGGTAAGTTAATAAATGACATAAATTAGGATTGATTGACGTATATAATTGTTTTTGGTCACTTCCTGTTTCACCGGAAATGACTACAACTTTTTATTTTTAAATGGCACCCTCGGTATTTTTTTTACTTTATTCGATGATGAAATGATATCATATGTCAACTTTTGACATTTTTGCTTAATAAAAAATCGTATTTTAAATTTCAATCTAGAGTGAGTTAAAAACACTAATTCTTAATCAAGGAGCCTTGGAAAAATATATTGGTCCTGGCCAGTTAGAAAATGCTCCAATCGTATTTTTAATCATATCTCAATTTTTTCAAATGGAACGAGAGTGGCTCATTAGCATATTTGGAAAAAGTATTTTTTAAATAATTTCATACCACATACTTAGACTGTATTCCATTGCAAAACCAGGCGAACCAGACCGGTAAACTACGGTGAAGGTTCCTGAAAAACATCGGTTTGATACGGTTTGGTAAAATAATGGAAACGTCAAATATTGACGTTTTCTAAATTTCAATACCTCTATTATAAAATTTTTCTTTTATTCATTTTTAGTTTACAGGGTGGGTCAAATTCGACGCTTTTAAATGGAAACACCCTTTTCTATAGGAGATAGACGAAAACTAATATGAAGCTCAATTTTCAACAAAAATATGATGGTGAAAACCGCACATTAATATCTATTACCGTTTCGGAGTTACGGTGTGTTTTTCAAAAATGTGCATTTTTAACAAATCGCTGTAACTTTTTTGCTATAGAAAATTTTGTATTTCTATGAAAATATTTCCAAAGCACCCTTTTACGTAGAATTTAATGGTTTAAGTATAATTTTTATAAAATTAATAATTTAAGAGTTATCAACAGAAAAATTGATTTTTTATTTGGGACACCCTCTATATTTTTAATTGACTGAAAATAATTTAAAATTACCTTTCTAAAAATATAGCACACTTGATATTTTGTTATAATCCCCTTCGAAATACAGAATTTTTAAAAGTTCGCCACTTTTAACTAGTAGGCTTTGCACCCCTTATTGATGATATGCCCTTAATGGAACTCGAAAACATATTTTTCCAGCAAGACGACCGCCTCTGAACACTGAAGTTATTAGCAAATTTTTGCAGCCAATTTCAAGAATAATTGAATAGCTAACCAAGATCCCAGCCTTTGGCTGTCGAGGCCGCCTGACTTAGTGCCCATGGATCTAATCCTATGGATATATTTGCGGAAGAATAAAGGTTCCTTATTCTTCGGTATAATCTAGACAAGAATTAGAAATACTTAGCAGTTATGAGAGGGTATCTTTCACTCCCATTGAGTTTATGAATTCCGCGAGAAATGTTCAAAAACTGCCCCTGTGTCTGTCAATAACAGAAGACGGTCGATATTGTCGAACACCTGTAGAAAAACCTCATGTCTTGGTTTGCTATTTATTTTTATTGTTATTAGATATAGATTAAATGTGTTGATATTGGTTAAATATAATTTAAATTGTTATAAAATCCTGCATCTCTCATAGCAAATATTATTTTCGTTTTAATTGATGCTCACACTAGAATTTTTTTGCATTACAGCCGGTGCCCTTGAAAGCCTACTTATTTAAAGCGGGCGAATTTTTATATACTCTATATCTCGAAGAGGAATCGAGCAAAATATCAAGTGTTTTATATTTTTGGAAAGGTAATTTTAAGTTCTTTTCAATAAATTAAAAATATACAGGGTGTCCTATATAAAAAATCAAATTTTCTGTTGATAATTCTTAAATGATTAATTTAAAAAAAATTATACTTAAACCATTAAATTCTACGTATAAAGGTGCTTTGGAAATGTTTTCATAAAAATACAAAATTTTTCATAGCAAAAAAGTTACAGCGATTTGTGAAAAACGCATATTTTTAAAAAATACCCCGTAACTCCGAAACGGTTTTCACCATCATGTTTTTGACAAAAATTAAGCTCCAGACAGCGATATTAGTTTTTGTCTATCTCCTATAGAAAAGGGTGTTTCCATTTAAAAGCGTCGAATTTGACCCACCCTGTACCTGTTCTGTGCTTTTACGTTTTATTCTTCTTTTCAATGGAGGTTAATATTGAAAAGTACTTTATTAATAAACTATTAAGCTCGTTAGACAGCTCAAGACAGTAGAAGGTGCCTGGTTTAAATGTCTTGGTGCAATTCCCTGGCCACTACAGCCAGAGACAAGACAATGAGTGAGATGCTTCTTGGACCGAGCCAAAGTGCTAGAGGAGATTCTGCCAGCACCTGACAAGGAGCTTCCCCACCAACGACAAGGTCTTGCATCTCCTAGGGGAAGTTTTTTGATGTAAATACAAAATATTATTACAAATTTTAGAAATTAAATGAGAATTTCACTCGAATTTCCTTTATTTGCTTGATTTCTGACACATAAATGACATTGATTGACAAACAAAACCATAAAAACCAGCCTTCTCACGCTCGCTGGTTAGTTTGGTGACAGTTATAATCGAATTTTTCAGAAACCGTGTTCCGTAATAAGAAAACTTTCAGGAAACCGATAGAAACGGAACATGAAACCATAACCAAGGTAAGCAACGGAATACACCCTTAGTAAGTATATATCGACTGAAATTCTTGTTACGAACGGCGAGTTATAATTTCAAATGAACCATATAATGCGAAAATGTCAAAAGTTGACATATAATATGTCATTCTATTCAGAGTGTTATTCTCTATCGAATAAAGTAAAAAAAAATACCGAAGGTGCCATTTAAAAATCAAAATTTGTAGTCGTTTCCGGTGAAACAGGAAGTGACCGAAAACAATTGAATACGTTAATCAATCTTAATTTATGTCATATACTAACATACCAAATCTCGTTTTTTAACTGAAAAAATAAAAAAGTTATTATAGGGGTGAGCCACTTTTCAGACACACCCAGTAAATCTATTTTCATATTCAGTCATATCTATTTTTCTTCACTGAATAACAACTAAAATAATTTCTTTTCTTTAGAAAATTACTACTATTTAGTTACTTAGAAGCAACAGGTCCTAATTTTATTCCAAATAATTAGTTAGTTTTAATTTGCTCAAGAATGTTACAGAACATTTATTGTCAAGTCAAATGTCTGACGTTGGACGTACCACAAAATTCAAATTGTCGTATGACATTACTTTAATGTTGTCAAATGTCGTGATAAAGTAACATATTTTTTAATTTTTTTTAATGTTTTTTTGTATTCCTTTTGGTATTTTTTTGTTTAAAGCATGAGTGAGCCACGTTTGGTTCCCCATAATGCAGATCCTGATGAATCAAAAACATCTCAACCTTTGGCGAAGTCTGTTTCAAAATTAGCACCAGAAGAACAACCTCCAAAAACAGAAGGTAGTAAAAACATCCTTCCGCAAACACCTTCAGAAGACAAGAGGAACATTGATTTGTCTCCATCACTGAAATCAAAACAAAGTCAAAGCTTTAATGTTGGTGCTAGTATAGAAGATACAATACACGGAACTAATCGAGATATAAACAAAGAACTAATTTCTGCAACAGAAAGTAGTCAAAAAAATATTTCTCAAATACCCTCTGAAGACAGGGAGAATGTTGTTGTATCTGCATCATTGGAACCAGATGAAAGGCAAAATCTTATCGCTGATAGTAGTCGAGAAAATGCTAGTAGAAAACCGACTCTGGTTGGCGAAGAAAATCAAAGTACAACTCCAGAAGCAGAAGCTAGTAAAATCCTCAGTTCGCAAACACCATCAGAAGACAAAGAAAGTCAAAATGTTATCGGTGTCGATATCAAAAAAAATTCAAAAAGAAGAGTGACCCTGGCTGACGAATATGATAAAGATATAACATCAGAATCACTTCCAAAAACAGAAAGTAAGAAATATAGTCTTCCGCATACACCGTCAAGAGACAAGAAGGCATCACTGAAATCAATAGAAAGTCAAACCTCGAATGTTGATAGTAGGAAGAAAAGAGTCACACTCATTGACTCTCAAAATAAAATTATAAGCCCGGAACTATATCCAATAACAGAAGGTCATGAGCACCTCATTCCGCAAATATTTTCAGGAGATAGACAGGCTATTCATGTATCTTCATCGCTGGAAGATACTCATACCCTTATGAGTGATGATAGTCAAGAAGATGTACGAAAAAGAAAAGTGACTGTGGTTGACGAAGACCTGGAAGAAGATTTTTTCGATAAATTTGGACAGAACTATCAAATCCTGAGTACAATAGCAGGTATGGAGGAAGTTAGTGAGATGGCAAATGCAAATGAAAAATTAACAAAAATGGGCTATATAAGGCATTCGTCGACGATGAGGAGCTTCAAGGTTTGTCAGCAAAATATTTAAATTACTTCAATATTTTAGGGCTTTTGTTTCAAATTCAGTTAAGTTGGTTTATGTTGTTTGATGTGAAATTTAAGTTACCTATACTTTTTTCTTCACTTGTGTTCATGTTAATTTTTTCATGATTGATGAACTCGAGGATGAACTGCACTACCATTGAACCAAAATTAGTCAGTACCGAAAGTACCGAAAAAAACCCCGGGAAATCTCGGTTCCTAAAGCTTGTTTCATGTAGACGCAAATCGCGAATTGCGGAAAGCGATTCGCCAAAAAGGGGACATTTCATTTTTGCTCCACTGAAAGTTACCAAAAAAAATCATAACCTGAGATAACTTAATTTGTTTTTTATTCGTGTTTACGATCTTTATATTATACTTTATAGCATAGAATAAGAGTTTAAATTTGTTTAATGATTATGAATATCGATTACGATTGTGGGATTGGAACAGAAGGCGCAAAATTGATATTTACTTATTGTTAAAACGTAGAAGAGAACGGGTTTATAGGTCATTTGAGACATGTGAAATATTTAAATTTCGTAAGCAACAAGCACTGTAGCAACAAGGTGCTTATCGCAATTTAATTCAAGAAATGAGGACAAAAGATGAGAAAAAATTTAGGAATTTTCACAGATTGTCTTTACAGGAGTTTGATAACTTGGTTGAAAAATTGTCACCATATACAGGGTGGTCCGAACTGTATTCCGGAAACTTCGGCAGCATATTCTGCAGATAAAAATAAGTAAAAAGGTTCGTATAAATGTATGTCCTAAAATGCTTAGTTTCAGAGATACAGGGTGTAGAAGTTTCATTTTTATTTCGTTTTTTTCCAAATAATTTCTGAAGTAATGTCAATATTTGGATAAAAATTGGTGTCTGGGAGTTTTTTGCCATGAGAAATTTGGATTTTGATGTCAATATGACTCCTACTAGTAGAGGGCGCCACCTATATATTTTTTAACTAGTTTGAAGAGTAATAGCTTTTCGCCCGTACGTGTATAAAAATACCGAGTAAAAAATATACATTTACGACGTTTTCGACGTGAAAAAGGTCTCTTGGTAAAAATTGTTACGAGTAATGGATTTCGAGATATTTGGAATCGAAATCAAGACCTGTCATCATTGATATAAATTAAACATGTTGACTATATAGTTATTAGACTGAAATCATAAATTTGAAATGTTTTTGTGCTAAAAGTTTAACAGAAACTGTTTTATCGTCATCTTTTGTCAGAAAAATTTATGATTTTTAAAAAAATAAAAATTTCCCAAATTTATTATTTCAGTGAAATAACTATCTAACTCAACGTGTTAATTTTTCGTCAATAATAACATGTATTGACTATTTCCATTCTAAATATCTTGAGAAAGGTTGCTCCTAGCGATTTTTACAAAGAGATATTTTTTAGGTAAAAAGTCACAGAGATGTATATTTTTTCACTCGGTAGTTTTATACAGGTACAGACAAAAAGTTATTTCGCTTCAAAACAGTCGAAACACATATAGGTGGCGCCCTATACTAGTAGCAGTCATATTGACATCAAAATCAAATTTCTCATGTCAAAAAACTCCCAGACACCAATTTTCATCCAAATATTGATGTTACTTCAGAAATTATTTAGAAACAATCGAAATAAAAATGAAACTTCTACACCCTGTATCTCTGAAACTAAGCATTTTAGGACATACATTTATATGAACGTTTTTACTTATTTTTATCTGCAGAATATGCTTCCGAAGTTTCCGGAATACAGTTCGGACCACCCTGTATATCAAAAACATAATTATGCACGAGAACCCATTTCAACTAGAGAAATGCTTTCAGTTTTATGTAAAATGCTTTCAGCTGTATTTCAGTTACTTTGTGGCAGCGTCGTCAAAATAATCGATAAACGGATCACAACACCATTCTGCGCAAACGCGAACCTTAAAATCGCGCGAATATCCGCAAAAAGTTGATAACACTTTAACTTTCCGGCCCTCCAAATTTTAAATCTTGCGAATCGCCAAAATCTTAAAATTTCTAACAGCGCCGCCGTGATCAGTAAAATTGGACCAATGAGAGTAGTTTCGCAAAATCGGGATTCGCGATTCGCGTCTACATGAACAAGACTTAAGAGGCGCGGTACCGAAATTCCCGGTTCCGAAAAACAGCGCCGGTTCCGAAAATCCTACTTTCTATTATTAGTTATGTAGGAATTGTAATAAGTATATTTTTTTGGAACGCTGTATATTTTGATATTTTAATTTATATTCATTTCATAGGCATCTATTAACACACTGGCGCCCGAGAGAGAGTCGACAGGTACCACCGCACAAAGACCCAGCGTCTTCTTCAGTTTTCCCAGCAGAATGGACCAATCCGACACTGAACTGGACACTTTGTTCGACTTCTCGCAAAGAAGCGAAATGGTTCGTTTCGACATTTACGAAGAGGAGGAGGAGGCGGCACGGCCACCGTCCGTATGCCAAGAGGAAGAAGAAAGAATAGATCGGAACCCTTACTACGTAAAATACGATAACATAATTGAGATACTAACAGAAAACAGATGGAAGAACAACTTCCTTCAGAAGAAACTCGCGATACTACTGAAAAGGAGGAAGATGCAGAATTTTCTAAAAACGGGCGAACCGCCTTTAGAACAACTGAACAAGTACCATCTTAGATTGACAGCGTACGGAGAAATGTTGCGTCAAACCAAGATTCAACGTGAAACGGCAACCGTCGAGGTGGCTTCTATGAGGGTCCGCAGGGACGAGAAACGTAGCGTTTTAAAGACCATGTTCGAATCCATGCAGAAAAGAGAGGGACAAATCGGACACGGCTTGGTACATACGAAAACTGGAAACGCTATACCCGATAAGGTCGTAGATAGACTGATGCGTAGACAGAGGAACCAGATGGATCAAGTGAGCTCTATGAGGCTAAAATATATAAAACTGGGGGTAAGTTTAGGGTTAGACTAGCGTTCAGAGCGCGAATAGAGAGCAGGAATATTTTCAAAAAACTACATTGCAGGAAGCATTTCATGTAACAATTGGAAAAACAACGTTATTAGGGTAATTAGACCTCGCTGAATACGAATCTGCCTGTTGCCAAAGCGAATTTTGACCGGAAGTCCACAATCCAAGATGGCGGCCAAACACTATATTTTTGTATATCTCCATTGTCCGTTAACCAAAAATAGTGATTTAAACGTCTGCTTGGGATTTTTTTCGGATACCAAACACATTGCAATTCTTAGAATTTACTCATCTTAAGTTTGGAAAACATAGGTTTCAAGATGGCGCCCAAGATGGCCGCTGAATTTTTTTTTTGCTGGGACTTAAGCGACGAAATTGAGAAAACGAATATTTTAGAGATCAACCAAACCAAACCAAACCAAATATTGTTTAATATTAAAAAAAATAAAAAGCAGTAACATGTTATGTTTAGCTTATGCACATTGTTTAGTACGGTGACACAACTTGATGCAATTCAACCCGTTCTTTATGTATGTGCACATTGTTGTAGGGCATTGGGATGCACAGTTACAAAGGAGAATATCCGTGCAAGCTTTAGGGATGGGATCAAGAGTCATAAGAATTGGAATGTACGTTTCTTGGTGAAACCTCCACTCATATGAGTCAGGATCCAGCACCATCGGTCGGGCATGATGGGCATTTTCTCACAATTTTTCCATATTTTCTGCAACCACTGTTGACGAAAACTTCCGAGGAATAAGAAGGGTTTGTCTTTCTGTGATATCCTTGTCTAAGGGCTGGAAGAAGAGGAACGAGTCTTTAATTATGTCTTGCAATTTCTCTTTGTTGCCCCGCAAGTTGACAAGCGGGATTCAAATGACTTCGGTATGTCACTGTTGATTATTCTCGCCAAGTGAACGTACCAACGCCAAACATCTGAGAGTTTGAAAACATGACCCAGTGAGGCTGAGACTTTAAGCTCATTGCAAATTTGGATCATAGGTAAATTACTACTGTTGCTACACTCCTCAGCCCTCACTATACACAGACTATGGTATTTTACCTCTGATGCTATCAGGCACGGCACACAATTGATACGATCAAACAATTCATGGTCATAATTAGCAAGCTGCCTTATAGTCTCATTCATTGGATCTGACATCAGCTGCCTCGTTTCTCTCACTTTGGCAGAAAATACACTTGTTAATGTCCACACGATTAGTCTGATGACGTATCGCGATTACGACGACGACGGTTTCGTGAGTTCGGTCTCATCAGTGGCGGCCCGTCAGGTGAGGCAACTGAGGCGCCGCCTCACCTTGAAATTCTAGCCTTTAGTAGTACACAAATTTATTTCCAGCTAATCGTATATTTATATTATAGCAATATTAATATTGAATAATTTTATTAAAATATACCAAGCTTTTTACTTTTCGACCGGTCTAAAGGTATGGTTCCTTCCACGCGGCCGTCGCAAGCGGCCGTCGCACTGCGTCAGCCGCAACGCACTCCTAACATGCTTTTAAATGTACCCGGTTCCTTCCGAGCGGCTGTCGTGCGCGTCAGCCGCGAGCGACTACGATCGCCGCGACTGTACTGCTCGAGAAGCAGTATAGCCGCAGCCGCGAGAGCGTTTGGGTTGTTTTGTGTGAAATTTTTGGTTTGATTTTTTATTTAGTAAATATTCAATTGGCATTTCTTAAATTAGAAAACTATCTAAACATGTCGAAAGTGCCAATTTATGCAGATTTATCAATGTAGGGTAACATTCTTCATCCCGTCTTTGTTTAAATATTTTAGAGGGGCATTTCCATTTTTTAGATTGGCTAATTGTAATAATATTTCTTCATCCTCTTCTTCTAGTAATAAGTACATTATGAGATGATCCATCACGATTTTCACCAAAGATAGTTGTCTCTATACTGATCGAAGTCAAGTCGCCAGCTTGAATCACGACGCGAAGCTAAGAAACCACTCGATTCAACGGCGGCCGCAAGCGACAGTCGCGCTGCGGCTGCCACATGCGACGACCGCGTGGAAGGAACCGTACCTTAAACCAACCGATCGCGTAGTGATGGGTTCTTATTTAACTATCTGTTATTTTATAACAATTATTTAGAAATAACATAACGCAACCGTTACTACTTCTAAAAAATAACAGATTTAAAATAACGACACGTAGAGATCGGCCGCACGTGAAACGAAAAACGAAGTCGGCGCTCTGCACCGCCCGAAATTCTATGCTGCTCGAAGCAATTCCAAAAAACAACTAGTATGGATGGAAAACCTGTTATTTCGTCAACCATCGATACAGGCGGCGAGACAACGGACAACGGAGTGGGGAATGCGCTACGGCGAACGTAGCTGCTTCGGTCGATCCCGTCGACGGTCGTATTGCGCTTATAACAGCTTAAAAATAATAGGATATAAAAGAAGCAGGTTTTTTGAAACAGTTGCGGGCATAACGCCTGGCGGTCGAGATAACAGGAGTGGGAAAGGAAGGCTGCTGCATCGGTCGATTGTCGATGGAAGTTCGAAACAGGTTGGAGAATAACGCATCAGTTGTTTTAGATATATTGTTTTTCAACCTGTTACGAGCATAACGGGCGGAGGTCGAGATATTATGGCGCTGTATGTTTCAGTACGTTATTAAGTTTCAATATTTAGGTATTTATTTATTCTGAAAAATTTTCAGAATAATATTTTAAGATTTTTTAAAAATGTATACAGGGTGTTTTGAAAAATCTGGTCATTGATTAATCACGATCCTGCTTAAAGCCCTTGACGTAAAAAGCTGATTTTTGGAAAACGGATTGACTTTAGGGTGTAGAGGTTCGATAAGAAGGGATTTTTCGAAACTCGAATTCAAAGGGGGTGAAACCACCCTCAAATATTAGAATATTTTTTATTTAAAAACCGGTGAGTTTTCCGGAAAAACTCTTAAACACGTATATTTTATTTCGTTGTTTTACATATTTTAAGATTTTTTAAAAATATATACAGGGTGTTTCATAAAATGTGACCATTGAGTAATCACGATTCTGCTTAAACTGCTTGACGTTTAAAGCTGATTTTTGGCAAACGGATTGACTGTGGGGTTGAGGTTCGATAAGGAGGGGTTTCTCGAATCTTAAATTCCAAGAGGGTGAAAACGCCCCTCAAATATTACAATATTTGTTATTTAAAAAACGGTTAGTCTTTCGGGAAAACGCCTGGACACGCATAATTTATTTTGTTTTTTTACATATTTTGAAATTTTTTAAAAAATCATACAGGGTGTTCCAAAAAGTTGAGTCATTGATTAACCACGATTCTGCTTAAACTGCTCGACGTTTAAAGCTTATTTTTGGCAAATGTGAGAAAATTTTATCCAGGTTGTATATTAATGGAAATTCTTGTTTTGCTTTATCATCACCATTAGAAATTATTAATTCGACGCGAACGAAGTCGCGGGTACACGCTAGTTTCAGTATAAAATTAATTCGAACTCTAGTGTGTAGTTGGTTTACTTATAAAGAATATACTACACATTTTCTTATATTGCTATTTTTTGACCGCAAATGGTAAAATCATAATTAAGAGCTTCTCGCCCGTCGAGTGAGATGCACCCTGTACACTGCTACGCAATTCAGGATCTACGCGGATCGGGGGGCAGGGCGTAGGTATATCGGAATGTATAGGTATAGACGAGTGGCGGAATTTTGGCTTTTTTTATATCGCAATTTCTAAACAGCGCTTATTTGTAAACAACCACCGTTTTTAGAGAGGTATTTTAGATAACAATCGATATTTAGAAATGTTTTGACACCCTGGAAATACTACCACCGAGCACGTCATTGTTGCAACTTGCAACTGCGTTAATACGCCTGGCGGCGACCGCTTCATACTCTTTCAGATATTTAGCAATAAAATAAAGAAACCTGTTATTTTTAAGCTGTTATTTTAAGCTGTTTTTTTATAAATAACTATAACAGTTTCAACTGTTATCTAAAAATAACAGTTTTGCCCATCACTACGATCGCGACATATCGTTTGTGTTTTAACTGGACTACAATGCATCTTTTCGTTCTGCGTTCCCGAGGCGTAATTTTTGCCGCCTCTGCCGACCTTTTTTTATCAATGAACTAAAACGTCACACATTGAAATCAGTGGGTCGGGGAAGCGGAGGGAAAGCGTGAAATTAGCTGCTGCAGAGGCGACAGCCAAATCGCTTAAGTGCAACGCTGTTGCCAGATTCATGAAAAAAATCCATTCTTTACAAACTTGATTGTTAAGTTCAAAAATAGTTCGTGCTTGATATGGTTGGATCATAGACTTAAAATAAAATATAGGCTACACTATTTACATCTCAACGCGGACAAACAATAATTTTTGTACACATGTTTACTTCTGGGTACAGTCGACCGAGCCTTCCTCATCCAGCCTATGTTGTCACGTCTTTAATATTATCAATATTTTTTTTCTTGTTATACACATATATTGAGATATTAATACTACAGTTTAATAAAGTAGGTTTTAATATTCCATAGATGTATTAAATAGTCCTTATACTACTAAATTATAAGTCGGATACTGTTTAAAAAGGATAAGTTCTTTACAATATGATAACACCGATTAGAGGCGAGGGAGCCTATTCATTCATTTATTACCTTGTAGTACGCGTGGCAAGTGTGCGGTAAAGCTTTGATGCCGCTATGTCCCCGGCTGTATTAACGCATTTTCTTAGTTTGTAGTCCTTAAGTGTTTATTTTATTGACTTTTTCTGTTCAAGAACTATAAAATATGGTTCGCCAGTGCCAAATTTGCAAGAAATTTGACTTAAATAATCCATTTAAGTCTTGAAACGACTTTCGACCGGTAGACAACTCTCAATTTGCCCATTGGGAGCCAGTGGCGTTGTTGTAGAAAGGCGCTTATTTAGATAATATTTTAGTAAAATGTAAAATCTGAATTTTTTCTCATTACATTATTTACTTACTTAC